GAGCCCAGCCTGCATCGGGGAGCATTGGGCAACCTCTGGACCCTGCAGTGGGGCCATGGTGGGAGTGGCTTAGTGTTGTCACCACACCTCAGACCCCACTAGCCTTCCCTGTGGGCAGGGAGGCCACGGCCAGGCCCCTGTGTTACCCCCACCCCCTCCAACTGCACAGATGGCTTTGGGGGCAGGAAAGAGCAGAATTCCCCTGGAACGTCCTGGGAGCTTAATCCCGGGGGAGCAGCCGGGGACTCGGCCCAGGGCTGCTGGGAGCAGGCCCTCAATGACCCTCAGCAGGGCCGGTTGGCACCAAGTCCTTGTGCCCTGCCTCCCAGACATCGACGAGTGCGAGCGGGACCCGCTGCTGTGCCGCGGAGGGATCTGTGTCAACACCGAGGGCAGCTTCGAGTGGCTGACAGGGGAAGGCAATGCCTGCGTGGGTGAGTGCTTGGGGAGGGTACTGCCGCACAGCCAGCGCGGGGGGCGCACTGCCCGTGCAGAGCCAGTGGGGAGCTGGGGGCCTGGTCAGGGGCCCGCTGGGCCCGTGCAGAGCCAGTGGGGAGCTGGGGGCCTGGTCAGGGGCCCGCTGGGCCCGTGCAGAGCCAGTGGGGAGCTGGGGGCCTGGTCAGGGGCCCGCTGGGCCCGTGCAGAGCCAGTGGGGAGCTGGGGGCCTGGTCAGGGGCCCGCTGGGCCCGTGCAGAGCCAGTGGGGAGCTGGGGGCCTGGTCAGGAGCCCGCTGGGCCCGTGCAGAGCCCACTCCGGGCTGTGGGGAGCTCAGGGCAGGCTGCATTTCCCAGATTCGGACCCAGAGCCTGGAGGGACTGGCCAACACGGTGATGGGCCGGGGGCTGCCCGGTTTCACTAGTGAGAGGGAGGCGGGCGGGGCAGAGGCCTGTGGCGAGGGCCCCTCAAATTCATTTTGGTCAGTTAGCCACGGGGTTTGGAAACGGCCCATGTCGTGGCTTCGGCGATTTAACTGCGACATTTCCTGGTGCTGGGGCCCCGTCCCCAAAAGGAGCTGTGGGGGGGTCACAGAGTTGTTGGGGGTGCAGCATGGCTACCCTCACTTCTGCCCTGCTGCTGGCAGTGCTGTGCCCTAGCTGGGCCGCTGGAGAGCGGCGGCTGCTGGCCAGGAGCCCAGCTA